ATTAGATGACTAGAGCTCAATGGTCAGCCAAAACATGAGAACTGAACAACCTCAGAAGATAATTGACCAAAAGAAAAGGACCTGAGAGAGTCTCAATGAAAAACGTCACCAGCGCTTGAGGTTTTTCATTGAGATCCCTTCCCTTGACAAACCTTGCAATAACTGCTTTCTGTAGAAAGAGTTCCAAGCTGCACAGCTTGGAAAGGCTCAAACCCTGCTTCCTGGAGGATTTAGGACACACCATTCTGGAGTCTCTACATCAGACTTAGGGTGTGTACTTTTCCTTAGGGGTTTGTCTTTCTCTAGAGAAACCATATTCTTCCTTGTTTTTAATATCTTGTCCCTCCTCATTTATGTGTGTGTGTGTGTGTGTGTTGTTTGGAGTCACACCCAGCAGTGCTCAGGCCTTGCTCCTTGCTCTGCACACAGGGATCACTGCTGGTAGTGCCTGGGGGACCATATATGGTTCCAAGGATTGAATTCAGATCAGTTGCATGCAAGGGAAGTACCATAAGGTCTCTACTATCTTTCCGGCCCATCTAAGTAAATACCTTTAAATAAAACTATTTTGCTTCACTCTTTTTCCTCTTCTTGAAGTTCTTTTCTTTGGAGAACAATAAAGCTCCTAGAGCACTGTGATAAGACTTGCCTGACTATCCTTTTCCTGCAAAGATCAATTTCTACTCCAGATTGAGGCTATGACTCCCTGAGCATTCTGATTGTGGGGATCAATTCTCATGTTGTGCAGAATGAGTGGACTTCAAGCATATCTTGATGGTCATATAGTAGGAATGGTGGGACGTTAGCGTCCATGGTATATAGATGCTAGGAGCAGCTTTTACTTGTTCTGACCATCTAGGTTTTTCCTGGAGTGGCTGAGGAGAGTCGCTCAAAGGGCCAGAAAAACTTTTTTCTCTAGTCTACTCCTTTCCTCCCCACTCCATCCACCCAAGGCACCTGCAATAATGTTTAGTAAATACTTTAATCACTGCACAGAAGCTCAGCAAGCATTCTCTTTTTCACACTTTACAGAAGAGGAAGCTGAGGCACGAGAGTGAGTGGAGAAAAGCGATCTGCATTCCAGCACCATCGAGAATAGCCAGAATGTGGAAACAACCTTTCTGCCCAAGATCAGACGAGTAGATAAAGAAACTATTTTACAGCACAGATGCCACAGGCCCCTGCTCCAGGCTGTCTCATCCAGGGCAATCTGGAGCAGGACTGGTTTTGTCTCACCACCCATCCCCAAAGAAGGCCTGGCGACCAAACCCCTGCAGAACTCAATACTACCATCTCACAGGCTCCATGAGTCTAATAGTTCAGTAAATCTTCTGAAAAAGACAGATATGAGGGACGTGTGACTGAATTATCCATGCTTGCCTACAGTCCCCCCAAGCTCTACACAGTGGATCACTATATGGCTGTTAGGGAGAATGAAGTTATGAAATTTGCTTCTACGGGAATAGACATGGAGAGTTTCATGCTGAGATAAGTCAATAGGAAAGGGACAAACATACAATGATCACACTCACTTGGGGATATAAAAACCAAAACAACAACACTGTGTGTGAATAATACACAAATATAGAAACAATGACTAGGAGAAATGGCTATTGGAGGGAGCATGCCACAAAAAGGGAGGGGACTGAAGTTAGGACAGAGAAGGGACCACTTTGACAACGATAGTTGGACATGATCTCTTGAACAAAAACTGAGTGCTGAAAGGAGATAAAGTGATATGCACAATACCCTTTCAGTAACAGTATAGAACCAAAGTGCAGCCATTTTCGTTGTTAGCAGCCATTTTGCTATTCTTTATGATTATGTAACTGACAGCTGAATTGAGCATGAACCGGAGACAACATCATGGGAAGGGAACAGAACAAACAAAACTTGCAATGCTTGCAATTAGTGTTGCCAATCAGTAAAAAGAAGGAATCCAGTGGTCATCCAGGCATGGAAAGAATAGAACAAAGGGGCAGTCACAGGACACACTAACCAATCAGCTTACAGGTCAGTTAGGGAGAAAGAACAATGTGGTTTTAGGGTACATAACTCTCCCCCACAGTTGGTAGAGGAGTACCCCACCATTGTTCTATGGTGTGTGTAACAACTGTCAGTCTGTAACAATTCTTTCTCTCTCTTTCTCTCACTGTTTTTTTCTCTCTCTGTCTTCTCTCAAACACACACAGACTCTCTCTCTCTCTCTCTCTCTCTCGCTCTCACACACACACACACACACACACACATACACACACACACACACCACTTTAATAAAATGTTTTAACTCCTCACCAGTGCCTTGATTTCTAATTGCAGACCCTAACAACAGTACTGCAAATAACAGTGCCTAAAACAAAAATGAAAAATCCTCATCCCTCTCCCCCAGGGGGCTATTCCCTGCTTCCTTCCCCACCCCAAGAGAAGCAGAGACAGAGACAGAGAGGAAATGTGTCTGCCTTTGAACAGACTTTGGAGGCAAAGTGGAGGAAGCCTGCAGAAGGGAAAGGGGAACATTGGTGGTGGGAAATGTGTACTGGGGAAAGGATGGGTGTTGGAACATTGTATGACTGAAACTCAATCATGTATGGCATTGTAACTATATGTCTCACTGCATTTTATAAAGAAATTTGTTTAATCCTCAGCAGTGCCACAGTTGCATTTGCACGATTGCTCATTTATTATGTGGAAATCATGCCTATCATATAGATGAAAATTAGAAAGTTCTGTTTCAAATGTGATAATTGTCCAAATTCAATGGCTGGGCCATGATAAAAATAATCCTAATTCTACAAGTGGTACTACATGGAAAGTATCATGTTAAGCGAAATGAGTCAGAAAGAGCGGGATAGACACAGAAAGATTGCATTCATCTGGGGAACATAAAGCAACAAAAAGGGAGATTAACACCCAGGAATGGCTGAGATTAGTACCAGGAATTTTGCTCCATGAATGGAAGGTCAGCCACAGGCTCTAGGTGAAAAGGAAGCTCAGATAGAGAAGAGAGTACCAAATGAAGGGTGTTTTGAGGGCCCTCCCAGGGTGGGAGAAACATGCTAAAAGTAGTCGATAGACCAAACATGATTGCCACTCAAAGCCTCTCTTGCAAAACACAGTACCCAAAAGAAGAGAGAGAGAACAAGGGGGAATACCCTGCCACAGAGGCAGGATGGGACGGGGGCGGGGGGGGGGGGGATGGGGGGGGGGGATGCTGGGACCCGTGGGGATGGATGACGGGCACTGGTGGAGGGATGGGCACTTGATCATTGTATAAGTGAAACCCAAGCACAAAATTTGTAAGCCTATAACTGTACCTCATGGTTTTTCACTAATAAAAAAAGAAAAAAAGAATAATAATCCTAATTCTGGGGCCTGAGCAGTGGATCCTCTCACCAATCTGCTGAGTCAATTCAAATACCCTTATTCATATTTTCAGTTTCCCTGTGAACTGAGCTTATGAAACCCAGGATCCACAGAGATAATGCTCACTGCTCCCTGAATGCTCCCAGAAGATAGTGACTCAGCCCCTGAGCCCTGTGATCTGTATTGGCCTGGACTTTGTCCTAGGACTTCCCAGCCGCCCCCCCCCCCCCACTGTACAGAATCATCACCAGGGGGCAGCAGAGAATCATGGGGTACAATGGAGTTGGGGTGGGTCAGGGCAACACAGGGTCTAACTCTGTAGAATGTAAACGTTTAGGGTGCACGTGTTTAGTAACCAACCTCATACCGAAGGAAAAGTTAATTGATTTTTCTATCACCTGACACTGATAAGGAATTTTTTCACATTTTCTTTGTTTTTTCTTTGGTTTTTTTGTTTCTTTCCTTCCTTCATTTTTTGTTTTTCATACTTTCCTTCCTTCCTCTTACAGAAATTGCCAATTTCTTTGAAAAAAGATACAGACTCTTAAGCCTCCCCCCCAACTGAATTCTGATCATTGGGGTCACAGTTCATAAAGTTTGGACTGCTCCTTTAGAATCTGAACTTTGTTGTGTGGCAAGCGACAAGGCCTGCAGGGTAAGGGCGGTGGGGGTCATTGGGATCTGGGGAAACTGTGATGCATTCTAAGGAGGCCCTGGGGGGACTGTGATGCTGATCAAAACATGTGATGTCAGAGATTAGTCAGCCACTAGGAGGGTGCTGTGGGGAATCCAGGGCTGTCCTCAGTGATGCTCGGTCCAGGAACACATAGTGCTGGGAATCTAAGCAGAATTGTCTTCAAGCAAGGCACTTAGAATATGAAATCTGTGTGTGTGTGTGTGTTTCTGTGTGTGTTTCTGTGTGTGTTTCTGTGTGTGTGTGTGTGTGTGTGTGTGTGTGTGTGTGTGTGTGTGTGTGAGTGCTATACTGGCTATACTCAGGAAATCTGACTTTGCACTCTTGTATTGTTCCTGATGGGGTATGGGGACAGTACGTAGTGACAGGGATCAAACCTGAGTAGGCCAGGCACAGGGAATCACTCTCCCCGCTGTGTTAACTCTCTGGCCACAGGATCTGAAATATTTTTGGTCCAGAGAATATTTACTATCTAGTCTTTGAATACTTTCATCTCCTTTGGTATCTGGTAACAAGAAGAATCTTGTATTCCTTCCTTGAATCAAGTAATAAACATGATTTTTATTATTTTATGAATTTACTCAAAACTGTAGGAAACCAACTATAAAAATATTTAGTGATATATCCTTGTAATTTAAGCCAATATTTTATACCATATATCAAATTATTTATTTGAAAACATACTGTGTTAGTGCCTTAAGCCACCAACTAAGTAGACAAAGTTCTCATAACATAGAGAAAACCACAGGGAGGAGCCACTAAGCAGCAGGTGGGAACTATGGGGCCAGCTGTGCCCTCCCTGTGTTCCTTGGGTTTGGGCCCTTTTCTGCAGCCACAGACCACAGGCAGCAGCCCTGAGACTGGCTTATTTGCATAGTCAGCAGCTCTCTCCTGAGGGGATAAGAAGGGACCAGGACAAGGTTAGCATCAGGTGCCAGGATCCCAGCCCCTGACCATGGCCTGGACCCCGCTCCTCCTGGGCCTCCTGGCTCACTGCACAGGTGAGGGGTCCAGACTCACAGCAGCCCTGGCCCAGTGGTCTGGGGCATCTTTGCCTAGTCTGAGCTAAGCAGAACACTGGTATACGATGCCCATCACCCTGATGAAGGGTGGAGGGGTTCCCACAGAATTACTACAGATTATGAAAACTTGGATCTGGCAGACTGAGATTACTCTTTTCCTGAACTCTCATTCTCTCTTGCAGGTTCTGTATCTTCCTATGAGGTGAATCAGCCTCCCTCAGTCTCTGTGAGCCCGGGAGGGGAGTCCAAGATGACCTGTGCGGGAGACAACATTGGAGGCAAATATGTTTCCTGGTATCAGCAGAAGCCAGGCAAGGCCCCAGTGATGGTCATCAACAGTAATAACAACCGGCCCTCAGGGATCCCTGACCGCTTCTCTGGCTCCAAATCTGGCAACCTGGCCACCCTGACCATCACAGGAGTCCAGGCTGAGGATGAGGCTGACTATTACTGTGCAGCAGTGCGGGCAGCTGGCAGTGAGCACAGTGGCACAGACACTGGGGAAGTGGGTAAGAACCTCCTACCCTGGCCTGGTGCTCACCCTCACTGTGCTCAGTAACTGAGGCTTGGGGGACAGGCAACTTCCTAGCTCTGATCATGATCTCGAACAAGAGGTGGTTCTCTATGCTCCTGGATCTTCATTTATCCTTGACTAGAGCAATAATTCAGTGAGTAAGGCCCTTGCATTGCATGCAGCAGGCCTTGTTTGATCCCCACTTCCCTATGGTCCCCTGAACCCCGCCATGAGTGATCCCTGAGGGTAGAATAGGAGTAAGTCCTGAGCATTATCAAGTGAGGCCCCCAAAATAAAATGAAATAAAAAAATACTTTTTAACCCTCAATAATTTGAATTCTTCAATTCAATGTTTTTAGTTCCTCAAGTTTTGTCAACACCTGCTGATCTGTAGTCCCTCCAGCTGTGTTTGGGGAAACTGAAGCCCCTGCCACTGTAGTGTCTTCACTTCCTCATCCCACGTGTGTGAAGGAAATTCAGACACCAGAAGGACAATCTCTGACTCTGAGTGGCCCCTGACTCAGGGTGGCCTTCGTGTTCTCCCTTTCCTCTTGTCCTTTGATGAGACTGCAGGTTTTTCAGTGTTAGAGAAGGACTCCTTGGAAGGGGAAGCATGGGATGCCAATATCTGCTCACTTATTACAACTGAGACTTATGACACCTGGATTTTTGTATTTTGCTAAGAATTTTTATCAGAAGTTTGTGAAACGTCCATGTCACTCTATTATGTATATGGGTAGGAAACAAATGTCACCATGACTTGATACTCAACTTGAATGATTCTTCTTATACATTTAACCTCCCGACCTATCCCCCACTGCCTTTTGGTCATTCTTGTTTTTGAAGGACAAAAAGGGGAAAAATCTTTTTCGCATATCAGATCAATTTTCTATCATTAATCTTCTCATACATTTTTCTTTATTTTTTGGGGGGGGCGGATGACACCCAGCAATACTCTGGATGTGTGATCAGGAACTACTGCTGGTAATGCTCAGGGGACTATATGGGATACAAGGGATCAAACTTGGGTTGGTGAAATGCAAGGCAAGCACAGTACCCAATATTATCCAGCCCCTACTCATAGATTTTGATACTGAAACTCTCTTATTCTTTGTCTCTCATTATTTTTCTGCTATTCATCTGTCTAAAAGATATGAATTAAAAAGTAAAAATATTTTTGGGGACCAGAGAGGTAATACAGGTATTAGGATTCTTGACTTGTACCCTGCTAATTCAGGTTTGCATGTCCAGGACCACATCAAGTTCCCTGAACTCCTCCAAGTATTACTCCTGGCACAGAGCCAGAAATAGTTCCTGAGCACCAGTGAGTATGGTTCTAAAACAAAACAAACAAAAAATAAAACTGTCTTATTTTCTTTTAATAAAACTTACTAACTTAAGTGTTAAGTTAGTCTCTTCCATATTGACTACCATTATTAGTAGTATAGGCAAAACTGGATCAAAGCAACCTAAATGTACTAAAATTTTCATGATTAATCATGAGTGTTGGTTCATAAATCCTTCACCAATGTTATTTTCTTCTAGAATGCAACAGGATTCCTCTCCAGTTCTGTTTTGATTTTCACTCTTATGTGAATCTCAGGGAAACATTTTTTCATCTCATAAACATATATTCTGTAGTATAATGTCACTCACCAATCTTAACTCCTTCCTATTATTATGAAAAAACTATTACCTATCAATAATCAAAGTGAATTTTAATGGACTCATAAGAGTTCTAATTCATATTTTTTAAATTTTGTTAGCTGCATAAAAATTGGAAATCATCTGACTTGGATAGAATTTGTGTAAGCGGCAGTCTGACACCCTGCCAGACCCTTCTGGGAAGAAGGGCCAATGGCCCTACCTGCTGGAGAGATAGCTGCCAGACAGCCCTACCCTGTGAGTTTCCAGGAGAAAAAAAAAAGCGCTATGTCTAAAAAGTGCGAGAGCATTTGGTGACCAAGAACCATTTCTAGAGGACAGACATCGAGCGACGGTGAATGAAGGACCAGGGGAACGGAGAAACAGGGACCAGCCCCAGACTGATCTGTAGACAGTTTATTTCTCTCTCTTCTCCCGCAAAGTCTGATCTTTCCTCTCATGGCACAGTCATAGTCATTGTTTTAGTCGTAGTCATCATAGTTCCATCATTCAAGTTTCCTCCTACTCCCTAAATCAAAAGTCTCAAAGTCCAATTCCCCTCCTGTTCTTCAGTATCTCATCATCAACTTTCTAATCTTCAACATCTTGTCCCCAACCTCTAGTCCTGACTTTGTTGTTCGTTCTTGCACCTTATAGTATAGTTATATAGAAATCACGAAGGGTGGGGATACACAAAGGTGGGCTTGAACATTATCATAACAACAAACACAGGTAAAGCCACTCCTTTAAGAGATTACCTCAAGGACAATAATCTCACTTGAGGGTTCAGCACTCCAGATTACTAGGAGATCCACTCAAGGGCTGAATTCCATCCAGGGTGTATTCTTTCTCTTTTCCTCAGCTAGTAATCCATTTAAACAATCATAGAAAATTTACTTCTTATAATATTTCTAGCAATGTCATTTTGTATGAACACAGTAAGAGATATACTATGCTTAAGGATTGCTCTTCCTAAGGACATGTTGCCATATATTTCAGACCACAATCCTCAGGCCAGATTAATCTTTCCTAATTCCAGCAGGGTCCTTCTTCAGTTACTTATTTTGGGTCATTGATAGAGTTTTTACATGACCAGGCTCTTAACTTATAGATAAGTACTATGGCCCTTGGCCTGGCCCATTATGATGCCAGGGCAGCTCGCAGCTTGCCCTGAGTGTATCCAGTCCCTTGGTCGGATCCTGCTCTTTGTGTGCTAGACTCTAAGGGCAACTGAGGCGTAAGTCAAGTAAATATGGATGCCTAAGAATAAATATTATTTTGGAGTCAATTAACCTCCATGTTACAAAGTATAGCATCAATTGTCTTCCTGTGTCTATATGAGAAGGACATTGCTAAATAAATCATACAAGTGACTTAAAGGGAAGAGAAAAGCAATATAGGATTATTAGTGCATGACGGAATTGTGTGTGCCTCAGGGGCACTGTTATGAGAATAACTCAATTAGCTTTAAGTTCCATGTGGGAGCAGCAAGAACAACCCAGTGTTATCCAACATTACCCCATTCATCAACACATATGACCTGTGCCATGCTTCTGCCATCATAAGCCAGATCCCTGAAAAGATTGTGTTGACAGTGGTAGCCTCAACCCCCACCAGTGGATGAGTAGAAGAGTGAGTTGGTTCCATAGGTGGTTTATGTGAAGTGGGGAGAGAGACATCAGTCTCTAGAAGGAAACTGCCACTCCCATCTACTTACCTCCAACACTGGGGAAACCTGGGGAATTCAGGACTCATAGAAGTCTGTGATGAGCCCATGCATGACATGGACACTCATGGTCCACAAACCTCACAAGGCATCCATCAAGCTGCACCTGTAGTCCACCTATTCTGCCCATCCTGATAGCTGATCCCTGCCACCCGATTTCTAGGGGAAATGTGGACTCAGTCTGCATCCGGAAATTGCTCTTTTCAGGAAAGGAAATCAGTCCTAAATCTAACCCAGGTTTTGGGGGCTCATCGCCTTTCCCTTACTGAAAAGAATTTTAGGAGGTGATAAATACTGAAGTCAAACAAGTTTATTGGGTTAATAAAGAGAAGGAAGGAGAGAGGAAAACAATAATTCATGCTTAGAAGAGATCACGGGCTTCTCCAGATTGGCAAGTAACAGTACACATTCCAAGCACAAATATAGGGATGATTTCCCCAGAGCAGGAAAATGAACCAAAGTGTGAAGTCCACTTCTTATTAAGCAGGGAGATGTGGGCAGCAAGTGTGTGTCTCTCTCTGCCAAGTTTGTTTATATAGTTTTTCTAAACTGCAGCACACCCCCACCCTCAAGTCTGTTGTTAGGGTGGCTGTGAACTGAAAGAGCTGGGAGCAGATTGTGTCCTTCTTCTGATATTCTTCTCCTGTACTTGTACCAGAGGTGGAGTCTCTCCTCTGGGGTTCAACTACCTCTCTTCTTTGGGATCCTTTGCATTATCTTCAAATGCTGGGATTTCTGCATCTTAATGACTCTCTGGGTGTCTCAGATGAATCCTTTGTATTAAAAGTCTTCATTGCTTTGGGACTGGTTTAGATTTCAGACACCTTTCCCCATCATATATTACCAGGGCCTCCTTACCTTTCCCCCATGCAACAGATGGAAGGTTTGGTATATTATAGTCCTAGGTGGAAATTTTCAAAATAACAATCTGGCAGAATAGATCCAAGGGATCAGTGAGGATGAGCCTTTCCGATTCTGATTCTTCTCACACCATCCAGCTTTTTACCCACCCTTTCATAAAGATGAGCCCCAGTCACTATCCCTTTTGACCTCCTGCAAATTAACTTCATTCTCAGTCATCCAGCCATTTGCCATCTGCTTTCTTGGTTTCTGCGATATATACCAAGAAGACAGACAAGAATGTACTAGTTAGGGCTGGAGCAATAGCACGGCAGATACGGCATTTGCCTGGCACGTGGCGAACCCAGGTTCAATTCTCAGCATTCCATGTGGCCCCCCTGAGCACCACCATGAGTAATAACTGAGTGCAAAGCCAGGAGCAACACTGTGCATCGCTGGGTGTGACCCCTAAAGGGAAAAATATATGATAAGAAGAATGTACTAGTTAAATCAGTTACTTCTTTACCAAGAGTTCCCTTGTATAAGATAACACATGTTAAAATTTGGGTAAGAAGTGAAATTATCTGTGATTTTGTAAGTCACTTGAGGACAGGGAGAAGAAGGGAAGCGCGGGATGGAGTAGGGGAGAGACTGGAAGAGGTGGAGAGAAGTGGGGAGAGAAGGGAGAGGAGGTCGGCAATATGGATGAAGGGAGGGAAAGAAGGGAAAGAGTAGGGGAGTCAAGGGAAGGTAAATGGGGAGGGACATGACTTATGTGATAAAGC